TCGAAAGAAATAAGCGTCGTCCTCTACAGCGTGTGCAAAGGCAGGTGAGCGGACGACCAGTGCTGCTTTGTCAACTTTAGGTGTGGTGCTGGGAAGATGACTGCGTTCTGACTTCGAAAGAAGTCATTAAAATCATGATATTGTGGAATTATGTTCGCATTTTATTATCTGGTAAGACACAAGTACGGTCTTTTTTCAGGTGTTTCATCATCATTTTTTTCTATAACATCAATGCTGTCTTTTGAGACATGTTTTAGTAGATATGATTTTATTGCCAGTTTAGTAGGCTTTTTGACACTGTTCTCTATACCGAGTTAAACAAAAATGGTTAGCTATTTTTGTTACATAATCGTACGGAATAGATAATTTGAAAAGCCAAATTACAAGTAGTATTTATGACGTATTTTGCAGTTAACGCCAATGATTATCACGTACCATAACGTTGTGCTCAATAAATCGAGCTATTGGTGAACGTAATCATACGTTGTGCCACATCATATCTACAAATATGTGACGTACATATACGTTGTTCGCATGAACGTGTTAATATAGCTGCAGCATGGCTTTACCGCGTAAAGATTCTATAGTATAAACCATTATGCTGCATTTAAAGCAATCGACATGTGTAGTTATATAAATTAAATATGTTTAACCCTTACTTTTTTTTTTTGTAGTAAATGTGCCAAAGGCCGTTAACTTTCATCGTATTAAGGAACGACATTAATAAATACTTTATTTTGTATTATTATTAATTTTGCTGCAATTAGTTTAATTGTGATGTTTTGTTTCAAAACCAATTGCGAATATAAACTTTTCAAATATTCAAGTCGATAGAGCGCGCGAAACTGTTTATAATGGTGTTAAAAACTAATTTTGGCCATTTAGGCTTTTACGACATTTGTTATTTAAAGGATCGATATTATGGATGGCTTATTCGTTTAATGTTATATCGACTAGGTTGTGACGGTTCGCAAATTATATAAAAAATAACTAGATATTTCTCTGCCGCTGGAGCGACAAACAGATTTACTGGGCTCCGACTGCCTAAAAAACCCACGGTATTCGTCTGTTGTGTTTTTCAATGGATATTTTATTAATATGTAAAGAATAAAAATTTTTTAGCCTCAATTTTTTTATCTGGCCTTACCCGACCTGGCCACATTTTAAAGTAAAGTTAAAGTTCGGCCCATATATTATGTCGCACTGCTGGCCATCTCCTTTCATTTCTGAGAGGGTTTTAGGGCAAGGAAGTGTCCGCCGCGCTACCCCAATGCGTGTTCAGAAGCTATTGTGTAGAGTTTTTTTTTAATTTCTATAGTTGATTCTACTTTTCACTAAAAGCTTAATTATTATTTTCAGATTCATCTTCATCAACCTTAGAATTTTCTAAGTCATCAACCTTTTTTAAATTTACTATGTAAGGAAAATTTGATGTTTACCAAATCATGACGGAATAATTGAGATCTATTAAATACTATAAAAAAGATCATGTTTGTTTTTTATATCAAGATGATGTTCGGACATGTCTCGTTGCTAATTTGATTTAGCTGGTGTGATAATAATTTGGAATATTTCTCTTCTTCGTCCTGCTTAGATAGCACTACTGAAGCTTATACTCTAACGTATCTTTCAACTTATCTCACTCCCAATCACTCGCCTTTTTTTAGAACGTTCTCTATTTGTAACGTTGAGGAAAACGTTTTATCTGTTACTTCCGATACCCACTGCATTGAACATTTAAAAAAATTGCAGCGACTATGTCAGTCGTAACATCACATGCTCCTTCTTATTCTTGACTTCCTATTATTTGTCATAACTTTTACTTCTCTATTTCTACTAATATGTCGAAAAATGCTGAAGTTAACCCTACTCCAAAGAAAACTAACCATTCTTTATTTTTTGAATATCGTCCTATCTCTACACTGCCTCTCTTATCCAAACTCCTTGAACACCTTATCAATACGCAGTTCAACAGTTTCTATTGTGCAGATTCTTTTTTTTTTATAGGATAAGGGTGACAAACGAGCACACAGTCCACCTGATGGCAAGTGGTTGCTGCGGCCCATAGACATCTACATCTATCCTCTATTACAAATCAAAATGCAGATGCGTTGTCACCCGTGAGGACTAAGATGGAATGCCTCATTTCCAGTAAAAAGGGCCTCCGGCCACCTGCACTCACCAAGCGAAACGCAGAGGTAAACCTCTACTTCACGCTGGTATTTCTATTATTATTATTATCCAATATTTCTCGGGAAAACATCGCTGAGTACCGGAACAAACTTGTGTCTGAAGTCGAGTCTTTGCTGAACAAAGTCTCGGATTGGGGGCGACTAAATCTAGTCCAATTTAATCCTCAGAAGACACAAGTTTGCGCGTTTACCGCTAAAAAGAACCCCTTTGTCGTATCTCCTCAGTTTCAAGGCACTCCCCTTCTTGCCTCAGCCAGTATCGGTATCCTCGGAGTCGACATATCGAGTGACGTGCAGTTTCGTGGTGACTTGGAAGGGAAGGCCAAATTAGCCTCTAAAAAGTTTGGCGTGCTCAGCAGAGCGGGACAGTATTTCATGCCGGCACACCGCCTGCTACTTTACAAGGCGCAGGTTCGGCCTCACATGGAATACTGTTCCCATCTCTGGGCAGGGGCTCCCCAGTGCCAGCTCCTTCCACTTGACCGCATCCAACGCAGAGCGGCTCGAATTGTCGACGACCGAGCCCTTTCCGATCGGCTCGATTCATTGGCACTGCGAAGAGATGTTGCATCCCTTTGCATTTTCTTTCACATCTACCATGGGGAGTGCTCTGAGGAATTGTTCGGATAAATCCCAGCCGCCAAATTTCACGAACGCACATCGCGGCAGAACTCCCGATACCATCCACACCATCTGGATGATTGGCGGTCCACCACTGTGCGATTTAGAAGATGTTTTCTTCGTCGCACGACCTCTTTGTGGAATCGATTACCATCAGCGATTTTTCCGGACCGATACGACTTAGGGACCTTCAAGAAAAGAGCGTACTCCTTTTTAAAAGGCCGGCAACGCATCTGCGATTCCCCTGGTGTTGCAGTTGTTCATGGGCGGCGATAGTCACTTACCATCAGGTGAGCCGCATGCTCGTTTGCCCCCTATCCTATAAAAAAAAAATTCTGTGAGGTCGTGGTACCGACCCGGTTCGAGCCGGCCCATCCGTGCGACAGCAAAAGCTGCCGCGTGGCTCTACCACTGTTTAAAATTCTCTTCTTAATCGGGCGTCCGACATGAACACAGTACTCAGTATCGTAAGAGTAGTACATTGTCAGTATCGTAAGAGGCAATTACGGAAATTTATATATATAAGATAAGGGTAACAAACGAGCGCATAGATATCTACATCTATCCTCAATAAAGACTCAAGATGCAGATGTGTTGTTATCCGTAAGGACTAAGATGGAATGCCTCGTTTTTAGTAAATAGGGGAGGGGGTCTCCAGTTCTCTACACTCACCATACGAAACACAGCAGCATTGAGATGCTATTTTACGCTGGTATTATGTGACAGCGTGTTCCTTCCTCAGTTCAGCTGACCCATTCGTACTACAACCAAACTAATAATATAGCTACAGCATCTCTACCACGTATAATTGCAGTTATAATACACAAAGTAACTTTATCCAAAACCATTTCAGTTTTAAATTGTCTCAAGATGCATTTCGTCGCATTGCAGTCAAATTGTTTGAGTTAATGCTTCGAAATTTCGCCGTTTGATGGAAGCGGTTTTAAAAGTTCTAGAAAATGGAAATTAATGATGAGGATCACTAATAAGAAACTACATACACAATTAGTGACAAAAAATGTCCTTACCGAATGAGCGCCCACTCGAACATTGGGAGCGCTTTTAATTTAAGTTGTATAATAAAATGATGTGTCTTACCTAGTTTGAAGAACACCTCCCGCCCTCCCTCAATTGCGTGTACTATCCCCGTCACCACTAATCCCAGCACCACTACTCCCAACACCACTACACTAGGAAAGACACACCACTGACGACAATACGTCACGTGGTTCGCTTCTACACGAGGCATTTTATTTTATCGAGCGGATGTACGCGAGGTAATTTTTTACCAACTTTAAAAATTTTTTGTACGTAGTGTTGAGCGCCATCATTAAACCCAAGCAAGGTCTCGAACCCCAAGCTCGTAACAGTATCTTTGTGAATACAACTTTACGCAGTTCTTTTAATGTTGAATTTACATTAATGTATATTTATTTCAACTAGAATTACGTGAAAACTATTGGCGATAGTTTTTATACGAGAGAACTTTTGCATGGGATTGTGTTACTAGTTTTTTATTAGTGATCGATGTATGAGGACATGTTAACTTTAGTTTTTTATTTTATTTTAGACAGAAGTAAGCGATTGATTTTTATTAATATTGCAATAAAATACTTAATTTTTTGGAAGAGTATAATATATTATATCTAGTATAAAAATAACGTTTTACGAAAAAGAATATGACTAGGTTCATATTATTTTTCGTCTTTTGATCTTTTTGCAACGAGTTTTAACGTAACGTAACGTAAGAATCATCGAAATCAGTTCACGTAGAACAAAGTTAAGAGGTAACACATATAAAAAAGACATACAGTCGAATTGAGTAACTCCTCCTCTTTGGAGTCGGTAGAAAAGGCTGTGGCGGCGCTGTCGTCGCGCCACAAGCGAAACATATCAAGCCTAAATCGCGCTAACAAAGTTCCGGAATTAAAGCAGTATATATATAATAGCTCCGAACTACCACTTGGATCGTTGGCCGTTCTCCGGGCAGAACACCTTGCCCGGCGGGAGATCTCCCTTTTTCCTTCCACCGGCCATAGATAAACGTCACACTTCACTTGGATGAAAAGCGTTTTGATGTTTAGGTTAGGTTTAGATAATACAACGTAACACGTAAGTTTAAAACGGTATAATATTTGTGACTTTAGTACCAATAGGTACTTATTATTTTCTGTATCCTATCTATAGGTGAAGACAGCAACTATCCAGCATGCGAACTAAACGCCCAAGGTCCAGCAGCGCGTGGATGGCGGAGCGCTGGAGCTCCGCCCCACGAACTGCTCCTACGACTGACGTGCGTCACCAGTCTCCACAAATTACAACTGCTGGCACACCATCAGCTTATACGTGAGTCAGAGATTTAAATTATTTTATGATAATTAAGTAGAACAAAAACAGTACATTCATCTCACAGCAGAGACACAAGCCGCTTCTTATTTTTAGAGGGAACACGAGACGGGCGTGCAATGCCAATGCAAAGTAGCGGGCTTTTAAAGCAGATTAAGTCAAAATGTGTTATGGCTCCAGTACACGTTGGCCGAGCGCGCTTGGCGAGCGCACTCGGCAGATTTTCGTGGTGCCGTTCACACGTTGGCGTGTTTCATTCTGCGTTGGTAGCTAGATGATGATGGACGTTAGGGCAATCGCGGCCGCTGTCATATACCTATACAGCGCTTCACTCTTCTCAGAGTGAACGAAAAAAAATACACATACAACAATAATCCCAGTTTGTCCTTTTTAGGGTTCCGACCTCAAAAGGAAAAAAGAAACCTTTATAGGATCTACTAGCTGACCCGTGCCCGCTTCGCTGGGGGTATTTTCAAAATAAATGATAGCCCAAAAGAAGCCCCTAAGCTACATTATCCCTGAGCAACATAAACGCAGAGATAATTTATAAGAATATTTATCATTAAGTAGGTACTTTTAAATTTTATGTTGCTCATGTTTGGGGTTCCATATAACTGATTCATTGTGAGAATCAATCAATGAACAATAAATCAATATTTCACTCCATAATTATTAAATCGTAATGTGTTGGTATGCATATAAGTAACATTAAAAATATATTATATTGAATTATATATTTTTTCATAATATATAATATTTATTTATATATACGTATATATATATATATATATATATATATATATGTATGTATGTGTGTGTGTGTGTGTGTGTGTGTGTGTGTGTGTGTGTGTGTTTGTGTGTATATGTATATATTGGTATTGTATATGTATATTTATGTAAGTGCACACTTTGACTACCTCTATTTCCTTCAACTATCCTTCAATAGGCCTGCTGGAAGAAATTTCATCATGGAATAGGCAGTGCCTTTGTACATAATTATGTTTTTACCATTTTCCTATCGAATGATGTGTGTACATAAACTGTTAAATAAATATTTCCTCATTAGTCCATGTCGCCATGTTGAAACAATTTTATTAAGCCGACACTACAGTCTACTCCGACGCGTAACTATGAACTGAACACTCGGCCAACGTGTGAACACTGTTTGCGGCTTGCGCCAATTCCTTTGATTTGTGCACGGAAAACCGACACTATACGGCTCGTCGGCGAGCGTTGGCCGCAAACGCCAAATATATACAAAACGGCCCAGTACACGTTGGCCGAGCGCACTCGGCGAGCGCGCTCGGCCAACGTGTACTGGAGCCATTAGATTTAACGTGGAGAGCCATGCTGCAACATGAATGGATCGGTTAAACCAGGGTTGGACAACGCTCTCACAGAATATAGCGTAAAACAGCAGAATAATTTTGCAGTATCTGGTATGACGAGTGGAGAGAACCGGAGAGCCTTTTTATTAGTAAGGGGGCATTCTATCCTAGTCAACGCATTTTGATTCTTAATTAAGGATAGATGTAGAAGTCTATGGGCCACAGCAGCCACATACCATCAGTTGAACTCGTTTGTCAAGCTTATTGTATAATAAAATTGAGTTAGTAATATAAGAATCGACTTATTCTTTAAACTACAGTCAAAGCCTATATGGTGAGCAATGACGGAACGGAATAAGAGAGGTGCCACTAAAAACCAAAGCATAAAGATGGAAGGACCTTTCATACACAGTAAAGCATTTATATGTTACGGACCAAGTGATTGCGAGTGAGACACTATTTATAATGCTCGGGCAATATGAATAATGCCCAATATAAGTAGGTAATATGATAGAAACTATTGAAATAATTAAATTATAATAAAGCGCGTTACTTATTGAGCTCAGTAAAAACACGATAGGTTAAGTTAGGTTAGATTTTTTTTGATGTTACATACTTAACACAAACATAATGGGAATAAAGTTTTTCATAACTTCTACATGACTGTTTCGTTGATCTGCTGGTCGTAAGCGCGACTATTGATCATGTGGTTCCAGATTCGAATCTCGGGTCGGGTGGAAATCATTTATCGGTCGGCTCCTCCAGGGAAGGACTACGTTTACACAGATATCGCAAATTTTAGAAATGGTGTTACCACTCTGCACTTTGCCTTTTTTGTTTGAGGACAAAACCTACTAATACAGCAAGGCTTAAGAATACTATGTAATTACAAAGTGTGAAATAATAAGTAAGTATTTTAATGGAAACGAGGCATTCCATCTTAGTCCACACGGGTGGCAACGCATCTGCATTTTGATTCGCAAACGAGGATAAATGTAGATGTCTATGGGCCACAGCAGCCACTTACCATCAGGTGGACTGTGTGCTCGTTTGTCACCCTTATCCTATAAAAAAAAACCTAGATGACTGTTATGATATCACCTTTATGTTGGTGCAATCCGAAGATGATTATAGGATCATCAGTGATGACACTAGATAGAACGATCGTGTTTGAACTCATTTGAAAGGGCTCATAAAGACCTAGATACTATAAAAATAATAATTCTGAAGCAGGCAGAGTTAGTGATTCGATTCTCGCCAGCACACGAGGTGAAGTTAGCAAACCTTGTGTTATTTGGTCCTCCGAGCCGGATCAAAGATCACTAAAGATGGCGATGTAAAATATAGCATTTGAGTCTATTAAATCAATTCCGTTGTTTTTTTTACCAATTCACGAAAATATACAAGTTACTCATTTAACGCCTCCTATCAGAAACACGATACTTAATTTAATTTGTTTACATTGTCACTCCCAGCTGCCTGCGTAGAGGTATTGGTGTCAGGTGGGTTGGTGTCCGAAGGCGCGGCGACACCGTGTGGGGCGACTTACACTAGTGTGGGTCGCGTCTCACTCGCCAGACCAACACCACAAGCTCGGACGAGAGAACTCAGGTTAATCAATTTCTTTTATGTAATTTAATTACGTAACTGTAACCCCGTAATTTTGTAATTGTATATAATTATTAATTGTTTATTTTTGTAATATAATAAAATATAGACTTGTGTTTACAAGATTTTGTTAAATAACAAAATATAAAATAGCAATAACTTCAAATAATTCTATGCCAATTTCATAAAAGCGATAAATTTAAAATTTTGTACAAACGACTTAAATATGAATATACCCTTTGAAACACAAAAAATATTTTTCCAAATTCGTTCAGACGACTTTGTGTAATCGGTGAACATACATTAAAAAAATATTCCGATGAATTGAGAAACTCCTCCTCTTTTGAAGTCGTTTGAAAAGAGATCCACTACAGTGACCAATTTTGATAAAGATGACGACAAATAACTTGAATGGTCCTGTAGTTAATATAATTAAGAAGGTAATTATAAAAAAAATATGATAGGCACCAATTGTGTGAAAAAGTAGATTGTGTGGCCTCTTCATATAAAGTGCCTGGGTCAAGAAAGTCTGTCTTTTCTGTTTTTTTTTTTGTTTTGCCTTTGTGGCGCCGTGTGATCGATCACCTACTCCTCCACTCTGGTAATTGCAGGATGAGGAGATAACTAGTTTCTGAAGAAGATACTGGGAACAAGCTCGGTGTGGGAAAAGAACCAGCTTTTTTATCTTTTCATTCGATACTTACTTTTGATGCAACTGTAACAGTTTTCAATGTTGTCTTTCATGTTATAGATCTGCCGCTCTCCCAGAACCCACTATAGCACGCTTTGTAAAACTCAGACTATCGGGCCCTCATCCTCCAGCCGGCGACAATGATCAGGTATTTATTTGACAATTTTTTTACAGTACTACGTCCAGAATGACCATTTCCTCCTGACCGCCAATCCGGATTACATCACCACGCCCGGGTTATAACAAACACATCATTCGCTCCAAGCGGAAAGATGTACTTCTAAAATCACACACACATACAGCGGTGCCGTTCACGTACAAAAATCTATACATGTGGGCGTGGTAGGTGATTACGACGCATTTGTTAGCACTTATGGAAGAAACATTATATATGTAGGTTTCGAATATTGGTAATGTTTCAATGAAAAGTTTCCAAAGTTATCACAAAGACCAAGTCCTAAGACCGCAACTACTCGTATTGTATTAATAAAAAATTATATTTAGATCTATCAAGCAAGTGAATTATTCCCTTTAATATTATATTTACGCGAACACAACACACTGAATAAAACTATGGGAGCGTCGAGAATTAAAAATGAAGTAATAATTAAACAAGATAAAATTTTCGGAATGATAAAATAATCTCTATTACAAAAGGCACGGACGTAAAAAAATATTATGCATGTAAAAATATTGTAGCGAGTTGTAGCAGAAAATAAATAATATATAGTACTAAGTTTAAGCTAGTAAAAGAGTACCAACATTCAAAAAATTCATCCGTAATAGAAATGCGTAATATCTACTTACACAGGTAGCACTGATGGCCGTTAACGTTCTTGGTGATGAAATAGATGAAGTTGGAAATACCACGCCTGTAACCCCAAAATCCGAGCCAACCTTTTCTCCATACGATGATCTGGCGTTCGTTATGTATGTTGACAACGAGATAGCCGATCTGGTTAGGAATTTAGATGAAAAGAAAAAGACTGCTGTATCTGGTAAGTGATATTCCTTTTTTAACACACCTAATTAGCTATCTATGTAACGTAGTCTTTTAATATAATTTTCACCAACTTGTAAACGGCCAACTGGTTTGAACATTTGCACCCGTATCAAGGACTGATGACAATACAATAATTAAATAACTTTATCCTAGTATATTCCACCAGGATAAAATAAAATGTTTATCAGGATTGTCGCTGCTTATGATCAATGAGTGTTCTTCAAGTTTTTTTTTAAACTCCTATAGTATTATTGTCGATTTTTTTCATTTGTAAAGAGTTTACTGTGTTTGACGACAATGGACCTTAATGAGCAAAACGAAGCCATGTATTATAAGTTTTATTCAGTTGATATTTTCCGGTATTATTCAAAAATATCAACAGTGATATCAAAAATAATAATTATCTATTATTGCAATTTCAATCAGCAAATTTTCCTCAATTCTGCAGAGGAACGATTTGAATACGCACGACGTCTGAAGTCCGCAGCATCTGCTCTCGCTGCTGCTGGTATACGGATAGGTCGCTGGAGGCTACGAAAAAGAACTGCTGCGGCAAGAGACGACTTCGAGTTGGCGAGGAGGATGCGAGACAGAATTGCAGACGCGTTGACTGGAGTTAAAGAAGATCCGCAGCTATGCAGACTCTTCGAAGAGGATGGGGTAAACTGTTTCTGTTTATGTTTTAAAAAAGTATAGTCACGGCTCATATTCGTCCCACTACTGGGCACAGGCCTCCTTTCATTTCTCAGAGGGTTATCTAGCAATTAATCAATCACGCTGCTTCTGTGTGTGTTGCGGAGTTAAGTCTTCGAGAAGTTATATTCCTCATACAAGCAGGTTTGCTCACAATGTTTTCCTTCTACCGTGCGCTTGACACACACTCTTTTTAATCTTTACATTAATAGTTCTCATTCACAGACATATGATACCACCATATCACACCTAATCACACCACCATAACGTATCAAATTTCGCTAGGAACCATTCTGTAAATGTTTTCTTTTTATAAAAAGGTGGCAATTGAGCATGCGGCACACGTGATGGTAAGTGACTACCGCCACTCATGAACAACTGCAACACCAGGCGATTTGCTGATGCGTTGCTGGCTTTTTAAAAAAGTGTACCTATGTTCTTTTCTTGATGGTCCCCAAGTCGTATGGTAAGACATGAGCAACCCGCTTGGCCACAGCTTGACTGCAAGTTAAATTCCCGCCAATAGTTCTCCCAAACAAATTTTATTCTTCATTTACTATAAATTATATATATATATATATATATATATATATATATATATATATATATATATATATATATATATATATATATATATTCTATTATATATATTATATATATCTGTTGTTTGGGTATATATTACAAATATATACCCAAACAACAGAACGACAGAAACTAAACTTTTCGTACTGCGATTGCCAAGCCACCTACCAAGAGATTTGTGCATTTTTTAAAACGTTACCGCCACACTAGGATTTTCTCCTGTATCGTGGAGGTAGTTTACAAACACAAATTGCACAAGGACAAACATCCAGACCCGGAACAATTATTTGTAGGCCATACAAATACTTGTTCCGTGCGGGATTCGAACGCCTCCAGCGCAGCAACTCATTGCTAAGCCACTGCGCCACGGAGCATCAAGGCATATCCTCTTTCCAGCAGTGGACTTCTACGGGCTTTGTGAGCAATAAAAAGAAGATAAATAAATTATTTTTCTTTCAGCCGGATTCCCGCAATGACTCGTCGATGCCTCAAGCCTACGACTTCTCCCACCATTTATCACCATCAGTGGTTGCCGGCTCCCTCAGTCTGGACATACCATCACCTGTTCCACCTATTGACAACGAGGGCGAACCACCGGAGCAGGAATTCGTAAACGGCGTAGAGGATGAAGAAGTTAATAATGTTCCTAGTGTGAGTGCACAGGTACTTCGCTTGTTTGAAATCTAAGTGATATATTTGCACCATACTACACCTGAACTATAAATTTAAACATAATAGCTCACCATATTTAGATGACTGCCGATACTATAACCTTCTTACGCTCGAAGAAAGACGAGGACTGTTAGATATGGGATTTCTATATGATATTTTATGCGAAGGTATTGACTGTCCGGATTTACTGAATAATGTCACGTTTAATATGCAAAAAAAACGTACTAGAATCACCAAGGAAACTATGTTTTGTATTCCTCGTCACTCCACACTTTACGGTAAAAATAGTATCTTAACACGATTGTTATCAAATTATAACAAAACATTTAATACCATCGATCCCTTTATAGGCAGTAAAAGTGATTTTACAAACAAGGTACGTGCATTCACAGCTTCTGTTGTTTGAATTACCTGTATTTGTAACCATTTACGTAGGATGCAGGTAAGGTACATTATGAAGAACACTTTCTGTAGGTATCTATATTTAAATAATAAGTAAACTATGTAATATTTTAGAATATGTATGTATATGTATGTGTGTGTATATGTGTATGTATGTATGTATATATGTATATGTATGATAGATATAATATAATATGCCATGATATAAATAAATTAATTTAAAAAAAAAACTCGAGAAGTAAATCGCATATCAATTTATCAGTAAGGCATAATATGTAAGTGTTAGTAAACCTAAAATTACTTAATTTTTATTACTGTTATTTTATTAAGCTGTTTTAAATTGGTCTATTGTTTTTATTTATTATAATTGTATCTGGCTTACCTTTATATTTAATATGTGGATGACTGTTATTGGCATACTTGAAGTAAAATTGAAAATTGTATTTAGTGATATACGCTGTTGTTATCCTTATTAAAATAAAAATAAAATAAAATAAAATACAGCAACACGGGCCACAGGCGCGGCCGACCAGAAGGGAAGTAGCCATACGCAGGCATTCTCTGTCAAACCCCTGTCAAAGTACAAGTCCACGCGATCCTATGTGTATAATAACACTGATTGCATTGCTCACTAGACTAAATCTGGTTATGCGGCTAAATCGACGTCCTACAAAAAATGCCGAATTGTTCAGTATTTTGCTGCAAAAAGAGATCTGCCACGTAAAATTTTCTTCTCTATATTAGTAATTTTACATCACATTATTGTTATTTACTTCTTTTCAAACTTAAAAATTACAATAGTAACGGTCGTGTCGTTTTAGATTAATTTACCAACACAAGTCGCTCGCCCTCATACAATATACAGATCGGTCGAGCGACTGATCCGAATCTGTATCTGAATTCTCGCTGTCATCGAGCGATACTGTTATAATGTATCTAAATAAGCAAATTTATTTACATCTCTGTTTGTGAGCAATTATCGTCTAGATGCTGGTTCTAAACAACCGTCAACCCCACCTCGCTGTGATTCTTCCATGCCATGAAGGTTACAATCGCGACCACACTGACCAAAACATATTAATGGCGGAATTCCTTAGGGGTCTGTTCTCTCTGCGACTCTTTTCCTGCTGCACGTCAATGACCTACTTCTACCAGATATTGTTGGGTATGCGGATGGCAGCACAGTCACAGAGAGATTCACGTCCAGTGCAAAAGACGGAACGCCATGGTGGAGCGGATAAATGTGACCTTAAGTCTCGTCTCCCAATGGGGTGATACCAATCTGATCACTTTCAACGTCGCTAAAACGCAGGCCTGTCTATTCTCCGCAAAACGGAGTCCGTTTAATCTGACTCCTAATTTCCGAGGTACATATGTAGAGGTTACAGATCATCTCGAGCTTCTCGGCATACAGTTGAGTGCTAACCTCAACTTTGGCGCCAACATTGAGTCGAAAGCACAAACTGCGGCCAATAAACTGGGTATTTTAAACAAGGTGAAGCGATACTTCACGCCTGGACAGCTTCTAACTTTATACAAAGCTCAAGTCCGAACATATATGGAGTATTGTAGTCACCTTTGGGATGGCTCAGCAAATTATCAACTTGCCGCACTCAGTGCAAGGCAGAGCTAAGAGGCTTATCGGCGCCAAAAAGTTGGTACAAACTAAGCTTCACAGCTTAGCTCACCGCCGCCAAGTTGTTTGTTTGGCAGATTGTACTTCAGAGAAATCTCCATTCTCCTATCGGAATACCGACGTACTGCAGGTTACTATCCACACTTGATTGATGTTCCAATTGTTGATCTTCCAGACATTCGCACTAAGTTCTATAAGTCATCTTACATAATTTGCACAGCTAAGGAGTGGAATACCCTGCCGGCGTCGGTTTTTCCGAGTGCATATAAAAAAGAAAGAAAGAGAGAAAGAACTAAGTTTATTTGGTAAATAAATTATAACAAAGAAAAATAAATCAGAAAATTATACAAGTCAGTTCCTAGCGACCTGAATCGAGAGAAGTATAGATTAGTACGGAATTGTTGCAACAATCTGTGTAGAAAAACACAACGACGCCATATCCATGAATCAGTACAAGATCCTGACCCTGCTAGGGTCTGGAAATTTCTTAAGTCTTTAGGAGTTGGGAAATTACGACAAAATTTCACTCACCATAACTTTGATCTCAAAGCTTAATTTGCATTTCTCCTCTTCGTCTTGCATTAACGATAAAGCAAAACACAATACTTTGAATTCTCTTTCAAAAGCTCCCGCTCCAGACACCTCTGCTTTTAATTTTAATCAATTTAACAGTTGTGGTGTTGAGAGAGCCATAATATCCATCAATTCAAATTCAATTGGTAGTGACTGCATTAGTCGGCAAATGGTCATCACTCTCATTGATCTCCTTTCACCTGTGATCACTTCCATCCTGAATAATTCACTGAATTCTTCTTTTTTCCCTTTAGGTTGGAAAGATGCATTTGTAGTTCCTCTTCCGAAAAAGTCGAATCCGTCTATTTTTTCTGATTATAGACCTATCTCTATCTTGCCTTTCCTTTTCAAAGTTCTTGAACGTCTTGTGCACAATCAATTAAGCACCTATCTTTTAAAACATAATCTGTTAAATCCTTTGCAATTCGGTTTCCGTCCTGGCCATAGTACAACTACTGCACTTTTACAAATCACTGATGATATTCGGTATGGTATGGAGAAACAAAAGCTTACCATTCTTACATTACTTGATTTTAGAAATGCATTTAAAACAGTAGATTTTGATATCTTGTTGGGCATCCTGCGCTTTCTCAACATATCTCCAATTGTAATTGACTGGTTTCGAAGTCACTTGTTTGGTCGACGACAGCACATTCAGGTGCAAGATGTTTTTTCCACCTGGACTATTACAGTGGCTGGCGTACCATAAGGTGGCGTGTTGTCTCTTCTCCCGTTTGCAATTTTCATTAACTCTATAAGTCATAATTTGTCCTCTTCCTACCACTTGTATGCTGATGATCTCCAAATCTATACTCAATCCTCTCTTGAAGATTTGTCTAAAGCAGTTGATACTATTAACGCTGATCTGACTTGTATTTCAAATTGGAGTAAACGTTATAGTTTGACGATTAATCCTAAGAAAACTCAGGCCATTGTCATCGGTAGTTCTAGATTAATTGGAAAAATTGACTGGTCTTCCCTACCTCCCATTTTACTAGATTGCACTCAAATCCCTAGTAACAAGGTTAAAAACCTGGGGTTGTATTTCGACTCTTGTATGTCTTGGACCTCACAGGTTAATGAGGTTAGTAGAAAAATGTTTGCTGCTTTAAGCTCTTTACGTAGATTAACGTAATTTTCTTCCCACAGTAACTAAAGTTACGCTCGCCCAGTCTCTACTTCTGCCTATCCTTGACTATGCTGATATTTGCTATCTTGACATTACCGAGGAGCATCTTAATAAGCTTGAGCGCCTTGAAAATTTATGTATTAGATTTATATTTGGGCTCCGCAAATATGATCATATCTCTGAATTTCGCAAACAGCTCAAATGGCTCCCGATCCGCCTTCGCAGGAATACTCACATTCTCTCCACTTTGTATGGCGTGCTGTTTAATCCTTCCACTCTTCATTATTTAAAAGACCGTTTCCAGTATCTTTCCCTTACCTATAATCGGTTCCTTGGATCCTCTGTCAATCTTTCTCTCTCTACTCCTTCGCACTTTTCCTTCTTTTTAAAGAAATCCTTTACTGTAACTGTTGTGTGTTTGTGGAACTCTTTACCTCTTCACATTCGTCGTGCTCAATCTCTTCATTCTTTCAAGTCTTGTTAAATCGTATTACTTAGAACGCTATTAGATAAATTAATTTTCCTTTTTAGTACTCTTTTCATTTAATTTATCACATAATCTTCACTTATCTTTATTTATATGTATTTTCATATTTTATTTTTATTTTTAGTTTGTACGCCCCCCTCTGTTTTTAACTATTGTTTGTATCACTTCTCTACGCTAAGGTTATCTGGAAGAGATCATTTTCAGAGTGATAAGACCGCCTGTTGTACATATTCTACTTTAGATTTAACTGTACTCGTTTTTGTTTTGTTTTTTGGTGTACAATAAAGAGTAAATAAATAAACAAATCAAATAAAACAGTTTTTTTAACTTAACAAAATTATAAAAAAAGGAATAACGTAATATGCACCAAAATCACTTTTTTTTCATCATGATCCAAGGAATTCACTCGGTATAAAAAATTCTTTTTGATTTCAGACACCACTGAAAACAAGTCAAGAAGATATACCGACACAAATCGTTCAACCCCCTTCAGAACCTGTGGAGGATAAAACACATATTACAAAGAAGGAAGAAGAAGAATTAAGAAAAGACACTGACAGTCCTCGTAGGAGCATTACACCAAATGCTGCTAATGGTGAGTTTCCTTAAAGTTAAAATATTCCTTAAAATATTCACAATACAATACATAATGCTACATAAGACGTTTGTAATTAAAATTTTCACTTTTCACACAGAATTAATCTCAAAATTTAAAATATTCTCTTTACAAAACTTGTATAGTATTTTAAAACATTTTGCGTTTACTTTTACAAAATGAAGTCATAGTATAAGTAGATAGCTGACATGATATTAATCAAAACCCAATTAAAAAACTTATGGTTTTCTTATTGCCGAATTTAACCTTTAAGAGGGTAAACAGTCCCTTTGAATGCAGTGATATTAAATAGAAGTAATAATAATAATAATAATATAAGGGTTTATAAAAACTTAAACAAAACGCATTGATCATGAGGTGTGATGATCCTGATAAATATTTTATGTTATCCTGGTGATCCTGATCAGAATATTAGGATAAAGTTATTAAATTATTGTACTGTCATCGGTCTTGCAAATTTTCAAGTCAATAAGTTGGTGAAAATTACATTAAAAGATTCCGTTACATAGATAGATAGATAAATAGATAGATAGATAGATACAAGCTAAGCTAATAAAAGCGTATTAAGAAAGATCAAGTCTCTTTTCCTTCAGAACTAAATTTTGTCATTTTTATAGGGCCATAGAAATTATCATTAAAATATTTATTTTCATTCCTTAAAGGTACATTAGTTAGACGAAGAAATAAAAGCGCCGGACCAAGATCGACGTTTGAAGCCTATGAAGAAAGACTGTTACCAGCATTGAGACAGTAAGTTTATAAGAATCTCATTACAACACGTTGAAATTAAAATTGAAAAAATATGTCCCTCGAAAAACGTACCAACTTTCCCAAGGACAGATATGTTTACATTCAGGATTCTATAGTTTATATTAAAATAAATAAGGCACCTGGGCACATGCCTCCTCTCATTTCTAATAGAGGTTATGGGCCTTGTAGTCAGTACTTAACTCCTAAAAGCTATTTGAGATTTTTAATAACGCATATTCAGTCTTTTAAGTCCTGGATGAATATAAATTTGCGTGATGATTTCGGAAAACACGAATTCAAATTGGAATGTAAGTGGCAGCTTAATTTTGTTTTGTTTAGTTATAATTTTTTTTTTCGGCTGAGAAATATCCAAATTTTCGGTGTTTTGAGCAGCCTTGTATTAATTTATTTTAAGAGTAGGTAGTGTAGAGTAGAGTACTTATTTACTCCGAGCTCAGCTGCCGTCGTGAGTGGTCGTTTGTTTACAGCGGTTCGTGCTGAAAAATATCGATCGCTTTAGAAATACAAAATATTCCCAAAACCTACTTGACCAATGTAAGATATTATTATTATTTTTATAATCACAGATTTTTATTACAATAGTTGGTTTCGCTAAAAGGAGGAATTATATATAATTATACTTATACGTCTTGAACTTTATGGAAACCTGAGTGAACTTTGATATCAGCTACTGGAACTCCTCGAAGAGTAGTAATAGTAATAGGTGTGCTGAGTTTGGGCTCGTTTTGTTAGTTATAATAAGACCTCACCTCCGAACAGTGGTGGATTATCTTTAAGTCTAACTAGGCACGTGCCTAGGGGCGCAAGGTTAAAAAGACGAGCGAGAAGTTTTTAAACGAAAATAAAATGTTCGTATTTGATTACTCCTAAATCGTTCTTACTCTGTTAATGGTACTCGTATCCTAATTATTTTGCAATTATTGAACTATATTATAATTGGCCTGTTGGTCTAGTGGTTAGTGACCCTGACTGCTACGCCGGAGGTCGTGGGTTCGATTCCCACCCAGGACAAATGTTTGTGTGATGAGCACGATCATTTCTTCTGTGTCTGGGTGTAATTTATCTATAATATTTATGTATTTAGAAATATATAAGTATGTTTATCAGTTGTCTAGTACCCATAACACAAGCTCTGCTTAGCTTGGGACTAGATGGCGTTGTTTGATAGTTGTGGAATATTATTATTATTATTATTATTTATAATATAGTTTATTTGAAAAATGAGTATATTTAATTTATAATAGATAAAATACGATGAGATGTTAGGCTAGCCTAGGGCGCAGCCGACATTTAATCCGCATATGCCTCCGGACTTGAAAGAGTGACCTGAAAGTGTACTTTGATGAATGCCACTAGTACTCCTCAAAGAGTAGAACTAGGTGTGCCGAGTTTGGCCTCATTTTGTTAGTTATGATGAGACCTTACCTCCGGATTTGATAGAGTGACTTGAGGGTGGACTTCGATAACTGCTACTGAAACTCCTCGACGAGAAGAACCAGATGTGCTAAGTTTGGGCTCGTTTTGTTAGTTATGAATAGACCTTACCTCCCGACTTGACGGAGTGACTTGAAAGTGTACTTCGGTGACTGCTACTGGAACTCTTTAACGAATAGAACTACAATTTAAATATTATAATTTTTTTAATTTTTTCACTATCATATGAGCATTATGAGTCGTGCATTTTTGGATTTTCCAAACTTTTTTTTAATTGAAGTTTGACATCAAATTATCGAAAAATTGGAAGTATAGTAATAAGGTTATTAATGAAAACTTGTGCGTATTTAAACCTTTAAAAATTTAGGTTTAATCATGGTCTACGTCATTTTTAATACGCTTAAGGCATGCACAATTGGAATTACCAATATTTTTTTCAGATATTTTGTAATTGTTTCAAGGGACCATACGATATTGTAAAATTACAATCAGGGTCTCCTGAAACAGTCTTATTACATGAAATACCATAATTATTACTATCATGTCATGTATCCCTGATATTCGAATGAAGCCAATAACGTACCTTAAAACTCTGAGAAGTGAGATTATTGGCTCAGTCCAGGTTCGTCAAGTATATCTTGCAGTTCGCACACGAATGAGTTCCTCCGAGAGGCGCGGGAAGCCCGAGAGGAGGAGTGCAGTGGGGGCAGTGCCCCCGTGGCCCGGGCTCCACACAGGCTTACTGAAAGAGAGCGAAAGCAAGCTGCTCTACCCATCCTGATCTTTGGGTATCCTTTGGTAAGTCGATATTCTTTGACTTATTTTGAATTCTATTTACTTAGATTCGCTTTCTATCTGCCGCTACTTACGGGAAAATCCCGAGTATTAAGTACTGGCCTATTCTTTCTCACTTATACTTAGACTAAGGTTTGATGATATTTCTTGCCGTGTATTGGCAGCGAAAGAGAATCCATCATCCAATTTTGGCTATTGGTTGTCATAACTATACTATGGTAAAGGCCAGAGACCTTTTGGTGTCCGATAATGGCGGTATACCATGTCATAAATGATAGATGTAAATACCTAGACAGGTAACAGCTAACAGCTTTTAAAATGGAAGAGTATTACTGTAGATATTACCTGTGCATAGATAAAGAAAGTATACTTGGTGATAGCGCATCATGGAAACCTCATATACACTCATATACACGTGGTAGAGCCATGCTGCAGCTATGTTGATGTATAGCTGTAGCACGAATGGGTCGGCTCGACCGGGGAAGGACCACGCTCTCACAGAATACCAGTGTAAAATAGCAACTTAAAGCTGTTGTGTTTCGTATGGTGAGTGTAGAGAACCGGCGACCCTTTTTACTGGAAACGAGGCATTCCATCTTAGTCCTCACGGGTGACAACGCATCTGCATTTTGATTCGCAAACGTGGATTGATGTAGATGTCTATGGGCCACAGCAACCACTTATCATCAGGTGGACTGTGTGCTCGTTTGTCACCCTTATACTATAAAAAAAATACAGGGCTATTTTGCAATAACCGGCCAAATTTGTAGAGAAGGTTCAGAATAAGTAATATAGGTAAATAGTGAAGAAAAATTGATTAAAAAAATCTCAAAAATTCTCTCCTTTTCATCTTTTAAATTCAAAATGCGTGGTAATGCATTATTTTACCTGATTTTATTGCGCACGCACATTTGTAAGGGTCGGTATGTAAAAACGGTAATCGGTAGCTAAAAACGTTGTTGCCCATAAACTACATTCAATTTGGGATAATTTCAAATAAAAGTAGAAGGCTTATTTACACGTATTGTCAATGCAATAACGGTATATTATTATTTATATATTTGAACTTAAATTTAAAATTTGGCTACTCTGAAAAATAACCTGTAGGTAATAGTTATATCATATAAAATCAAAACTTAAAGTTTTAATGGGAATATTACGATCTTATGTATTTCAATAACCACAAAGTGTAGGAGAGGCTTATGTTGAACGGAAGATTATTACAGATAAAGAAGGAAATATATTCTTTGTTAATCTGAACAACACAAAGAAGTTTCACAAGAAATTTTAATTAATCTTATCAATAGCATTTTTACATTTTAGCAAACGGTAATACAATTTATGCAATGTTTGCAACATAGATTTGGCTCGAGTGCGCTTGTCAATCCAATTTTCTCTGTCCGCAACAACTGTATACATTCAATTATTTTATCATTAAATAAAATTGGTAAAGTTTTTTTTTTAACATAAAACCCATTATTTATCGGCAGATTGAAGGAGATATAATATAATATATCCAACTTATTCTTCAAACGTTTTCGTTTCCTCACCTGCTGTTGTGCACTCTCTTGATTGAAAAAGGTTTTCATCGAATGGCAGAAAATCGATCCAAGCGCGGAACCCATTTCATAGATATATCACATCATCTACATATTTCACACATTACAATTACGAGGATAGGGAAGGACAAAGAATGCTAAAGTTGTTGGTGATGATGATTTATAGATCAGTATATACATGTGTAAAGTTTTCTAACGGATTATATTTGCCTTTTTTTGATATTTGGTAGTTATAAAAATTTTATGAAACACTTAGACTTTCAAGTATAAACGAAAATACTGTGTCTCAAAAAAATAGACGAAGCGTTGCGTACATTTTAAGTAACACCGAAAACAAGCCTAAATCTTGTTTAACTTTTTTTTATAGAATAAAGGTGACACGCGACCACACAGTTCACGCGACGGTAAGTGGATGCTGTGGCCTATAGACATCTACATCATTCAAAATGCAGATTCGTTGTCCGCTGAGGATAAAGATGGAATCCCTCGTTACCAGTAAAAAGGGTCTCCGGTTATTTATACTTATGTGTGGTCCTACCGAGGTGGGGCCACCCATTCGTATTGCAGCCAATAAAAAGCTGCTTCGTGACTCTATCACGTTTTATATGTATGAGATGCAAGAATACTTGATCACGCACACATATGCATTTAAATCATTTGCAATCAACATCATGGTTTTAGGTATATATGTGTGCGGCCAACTGTTTACTCTTACAGGCTGTTAAAGAAAGAGAGAAAGAATACGTGAGTGTTTGTTAAGTTTTCTTTCTTTGTTATTCTAAGGAAACAATAAAATAAAACATTTTATTAATATTGGTGATATTTATAAGGTTGAGAAATTCTACTCGAAGAACTATTTGGACAAAGAAGAGGGCCTCTCCCGACTGCGTGGGGAACTAACAACGCCCTCAAACGGCAGCAGCAAGACGTCGCCCAACAAGACAGCGCGCGCCGCAGCCACGCTGCTGCAGAGAGCGCTACGAGATAAAGTTTTCTCGGTGTACAGCCAAGCCAATGAGGTCGTCATCGCGCTGTTTAAGGAGTTTGTTCCGGACAGGTATTCCCCTAATTTTGACATTAAATTGCTTTTTATATGCGGATGTAACCACTGCATAGCTTTTAGTCGACTCGACTCGAAACGACTCGACGTTATATCATGCACATGTTATGTTATGTCCCGAAGATATAGTTTGCCGCTATAATGCCATAAAATATTTCAGAGTTTGCGCAGCAGAAGTTGGCCGGTGTATAGACAAGTTACTCCCAGAGCTTCTCAGAGCATGTGGCGACCCTGCGCCCAGGATACATTCAACAGCACAGCACACCGTACTCACAGTGGCCGAATGCCCGCAAGTCAGGTATGATTTATTAAGGACTGCAAAATAATGCTATGATTATATTTTTTATAAAACTGAAGTGACAAACGAACCTAAAGTCCACATGACGGTTGTTACTACTGTGTTCTGTGGCAGCACCGTAAAGACCAATCACAGATTCACAGATAGGAAATCGCCTCGCCCTATTTTCTTTCGTAGGTGACGCAACGGGATTGGAATTCCATATATCTAAATGAAATCTTTCATATCCTCCGATAGTTGTCGGTTTAACCATCTTGTAAATGCCAGATTAAAAACATTCCTACCGGCGACAAGAATAACGATAAAAATGCGAGTAATCTGGTACCGTGAATGCCAATCAATGTAGGTACCAATCGCGGATTTTTTATGATTTTTTTTTTTATATAAGAGGGGGTAAACGAGCATGCTGCTCACCTGATGGTAAGTGACTACCACCGCCTATGAACAACTGCAACACGAGGAGAATTGCAGATGCGTTGCCGGCCTTTTAAAACAGAGTAGGCTCTTTTCTTAAAGGTCCCTAAATCGTATCGGTCCGGAAAAATAGTTGGTAGTAGTCGATTCTAATTCTACGTCATAATCTACTTCCAATGGGGATGGTGTTGATGCTATGAATCTGTATCAATACAATATATTGCCGTAATATTTCCAGGAGTCTCCACATCATTCCGCAGCAGTTGGTGCGTCCAGTAACCGCCTCCATGCATCCACGGCTTGCGCTCTCTCGTCTGCAAATACTCGAGCAGCTCATACTTAGTCATGGCATCTCCACTGATAAAAACAGGTAACTATTTTCTAGATTTATTATACATCACCTTTATAACTGATTTACAAAGCTTCTAAAGGAAAGGTTTTGATTATATTTTAGCTTTTATAAAATTAATTCAAGGCCCTTGACGCTATAGTCGAGATAAGCTAGTCTCTTGATAGGATGACACATCCCCCCGAGGAGAACATTGGCTCGGAATTGGTCCCGAAATATCTTGATAGCACAGCGAGGGTCCTGAGGGCAGAAAGTAACAATCCTGGGACGTGCTTTCAATAAAACAAAGCGAGAAAGGGCTCCCGGTTGGGATCCGAACAGAGATCCCGGAACTCCTCGTACACGCTGATGGAGACCATCGTGGGGTTTTAGCCGGTAGTAGGCGCGCATAATTATTGCCGACAAACTGACTTACAGTTTGGCAAAATTAAAAAAATAATAAAATTGCGTACGCACCATTCGTAAGGGTCAGTGGGTAGGCAAAAACTTACCAATATGGTGATCTATAGGGGAGCACTATGTTCAGCAGTGGATTTTGATATGCTGTAACAATAACGGTAACGGTGTCGATTTTATTTGAATACATTTAATAAATTCTAGTCGTTCATTTAATTGTTTCGTGGTTGTGACATACATTGCACGTAAAAATAATAAATGTATAGAAATATTAGAGAAAACAAATTTCTAATTATTCTGTGATTATAAATTTAAAATAAAAAATAATAAAAAGATAATATCATCATAGGGGACACCCGGGTTTGAACCGGGGACCTATCGATCTGCAGTCGATTGCTCTACCACTGAGCTATATCCCCTTCATAACTATCGTCAGAAACAAGATATAATAGCTAACAAATAATGACATCATTTAATTTAAAAACCTTATATTTTCATAGATATAACATATCTTCCGACAGAAGCGTAGGCGATACCAAATATGTAAGCGATACTATCTTATATGGAATGTTGAATTATGTTGAACTACATATTATTCGTGATACTGCTAACTTTATTGAACTTTAAAAGTTACACTGCATCACGCCTGTAATCCCCGAGGGGGATGATGATGATGACGACGATTAAGAGTTTTGGGGATATAAGTCACGCTGTTTTCAGTTGAATAGATTTTGTGTACTTTGTTTTATTCGGATAACTATCGTAATATATGCTATCGATTTCACTTTCCACTTCGGCAACTACGATTCACAATGACTCTCGACGTGGATGCGGCTCAGAAGGGAAATTGCTCTGTAGTTATTCAAAAGACAAACACGACCACCGTACATCTGCTTCACCCCTCCAAAGTATCGCCACTATCGAAGACGAAATTAAACAGTTTCTGAAGGACTTCAAGTAACGGTTTTCCAATCAATGTTTTCCACACAATCAGGTGGTCTGTCTGCACCTTTGTCACTCTTATTAAAAATATATTTTACCTTATTACATTCTATTCTATTCAATCCTATTTTAGTATTTTAGAGTAGAGAGGAGTAGCCATGCTTCTCCTTTTTGATACCTAATCGATAATAGACGTCGATGCCTATGAACCACAATACACTTAGATTTAGGTGGTCTATGTGGTCGATTGTAAACCTTTACTTTATATAAAAAAGGGATCACTATGACTTAAATTTACTCTTTTGTAGCGGATTAACAGTCCGTCGTCTTGCGGAATGTGGCGCAGCTGGTGCCCAACATGCGGCAGGATCTGTACGGGCTGCGGCAGAGAGAATACTGCTTGCGGCGTACACCCGCTCCCCCAGAGTCGTCAGAGCTCAACTGCCTCCAGACGATGCCGTCACAAGACGCAACTTGATCTACAGGCATTTGTTCCAGCAGTTTGATAGAATTGATATGCAAGTAAGTAGCAATCTTAAAGTTATTTTTTAGAATGATAGATACGAAAGCGTCCTCTTTCCTTTCGTTTTATACGATAAGCACATTCATTTAATAATATTGTACAGTTGGATACTTTGTGTTTTAATCGTAATTTTCTTGTTACCAGAAAATGCTAAACCAGGCACCTACAGAAGAAGAACTCTTGAACGGCGCGGACCAATCAACCGCGGACACTGTTCACGAAACCTCTAGCATCGCTCAATCCACAAGATCAGGCACCACTGCGTCTGGGATGACGTCATCAGGAATGACTTCCTCGCTCATGACGTCGTCAATCGGTGCCACCTCCTCATACAGCCTGAAGTCAAGCGCCAGTGGGGCCACTTTAGCTCCGTCTAGTTTGAGCGGTAGTTTGACAACTTCAAGAACAAAGAGTAGCCTAAAGAAATCTCCTACGAAGAAGTATACCCCCAGTCGGACTGCGAAGGATTTTTCTAACTACCCTGGATATAACAAGTTAAGATTGGACAGCGCTGTCAGCCCTAAACATTCGCCAAGAACTACTGCTGTGGGTAATGAAAAGGTAAGATGTTTTACTAAAAACTAATAAGTTTTATTACTTTTTTTAAATTGGAATGTTTCAATCCTAAATAAATTTTTTGTTTCTTTCCACGTGGCACGTGTCCCGTGTTCGCATCCTAGTACGTAGTTTGTGAAACAATAAACATGTTAATGTTATCAAAGTATGGTTCTGTTGCATTTGTCCCTGTTATAGACGTAGCCTACTTAATTTCGGGGTGAACTTAAGAGGACACAGACCCTGCCTTGTTTAAGCTCTGCTAGACAGTGTTGAATTTTCTTCTCCCGTGGGAAACTCAACCGATAAACGAAAATTAACACATAAGTGTTACATCGAACAAACGTATACTAGAGCGAGTCAGTACTCCTGTGCTAAAGCATGCATTTATCGTACTATAATTTCTCCTTCGCGGTTAATCATTCATCAGCACAAGTCTACTCTTTCAATCTTGCAAAATTATACCATATTCAACACCACCAAGCATAATAACCAAAGTTATGGTGTCGTGGTATATTTAAAGACTCACGTATTGGCTACATGCAAACTAGCAGACTCTCACCAGTCAGCTTCTGGGCTCATAATAAAGATAAATACCGACGTGGCAATAGTCTGTATCTACCTCTCACCATCAATAGACAATATAAATAGTTTACTCTTAGTCCTTTATAACATTCTTCTGTTACTACGGTTATTCAAATCTGTTGTCATAACATGTGGTTTAAATCTAGATATCAAACCCGATGTGCCTGACACGAGATCTCACGAATATTTGAATTAAAAGCTTTTACAAAAATTTACTTCGCAAATATCCGCGTTATATATAACGCGGATATTTGCGAAGTAAATTTTTGTAAAAGCTTTTATATAATGGATTTCCGCAAAGTAACGCCTGATTCTATTAATTATAATATTTGAATTGTCTTGGTTACCACGGCTATCTTCCTGCCCATGCTCTTCCAACCAGGAGTAGCTTAGCAACTGTTTGGATCACACGATCATAAGAACAAAGTCTCCCACTCTTACTTTTGTCTATAGCTGCACAGTCACTGTGATTACTGTTCCACATTACTTTGCATACACATCCAACATATACGAACGGTCCGAACTTCAATCATCACCAGGATCGACTATGAGGGGCTTAAGAAATCAGTATTACAACTGGAATTCACCCCTCTTTTCTCTAGTAGAGATGCAAATATAGCTACCGATAAATTCATTCAATTAGTACCTTCGACCATTTCTGACAACATGACATTTAAAAAGTTCAAAGTGGTTTAATGACCTAAAAACCTTGTAGGATACTATAAAACGAGTAACAAATACCACTAAGACTAAAAACTCTTCTACACAATTATTAATTTTATTAACTTCACCTAAGCAGTCGTGCAACAGCGTAAATTCGTACTTTGTAAATATTGGAGAGAACTTTGAAAATTATATAATCAACTTCAGAACCCTTCAAACAACAACCTCCCAACAACAAACATTTTTTTTCCTAGATCCTAATAATTCTAATGAAATCGTTTCAGTTATAGACTCCTTACGGTCTAATGCTGCTACCGGTTGGGATGAAATTCGCCTTCCTTCCCGAAGAAATATTAAACCACTCTGGCACCGATCATATGTCCTTTTTAACCTTTGTTTCGAGACTGCTGTCTTTCCCACACCACTTAAACAGGCTAAGTGAGGTGACGGGAAAGTACCGAATATTACTGCCCATAGCAGTTCTTAGTAATCTATCAAAAGTTATCGAAAGATTGATTATTAAAAGACTTGTTTCCTTAATAAATCAAGTAATCTAACTAAATTCAGTTCAAAGTTTAATGTATTTTTGGGTTTTGCGAAAGCGTTCGATGCCGTTCCTGTCTCAACTCTCTTATTCAAACTGGAAAAGGTAGGTGTCAGGGGGTAGCAACTAGATCTCTTTCAAAGTTATCCCACACATCGGTCCGTAGCCGTCAGGATTGATGACCACAATAGTGATGAGCTCCCAATCTATTACGGCGTACCACAAAGAAGTATATTAGGTCCCACTATATTCTTAGTGTTTGTCAACAACCTATGCAACCTTAATATTCCAAATGCTAAGATTATATCATTTGCAGAATATACTGCAATAACATTCGTCGCCGAAACAGCTGGGTTTCGACCTTATATCAAATTGGCTTTATTTCCACACGGCGACCCTTAATGCCTCCAAAACTAAATTTATTACCAATTCAATTAGTTCAGTCTCCCAACCAAATTTACCAATATCCCTTAAAGCCCACTCTTGCCACAGACATACTCAGGTATCCTGTGAATAATCCAACTATATCCTCTGTTGACCATATTAAATACCTAGGTATAGTCTTAGATAAAAAGATAAATTTTGAAAGCTACATTAATCTTCTTACTGGCAGAGTTCGTAAATTAATTTATATATTTAAAATCCTACGAAGTATTGCTAACCCTACTGTTATACGTAAAATTTATTTTGCCCTATGTTTATCCTTTATTACGTACTGTATTTTCTACTGGCGTTGTGCTGCAAAATCTAACTTAAAGAAGCTGGAGGTGCCACATAAAGCCATTTTGAAAGTGGCTACTTTCCGGCCAATCATTTTTCCAACTAATCTGTTGTACAATGACTGGAACGTTCTTAATGTTCGGCAACATTTTATTCTAGAAACATTTTTTTTTGCAGCACCGCAAAACACCTTACACGGAAAAAAGTAAACGTCGAAACGACAAAATTTGTTCTCTTCCACAAGTTCGCTCTTCATTTATTAAAAGATTTTTTATTTCCTGAGTCCGTTCCTTTCCAATAAAATAAACGAAAAATTTACTAATATATGGGTTATCACGGGTTATAGTTGAAAACTAGAAATTGTTGTAGTTGTAGCACTTATAACTGTAAGCATGTATTTATTATTTACCTACTATTATGGGGATTGAGACTGTTACTGCTTAACACAGGTTATTCAGTAACATAGCTAGGAGGAGAGAGCTACATCCACTAGATTGAAGATCTTATTTTATAGATAGTATAAACGATGTAATGTCCCACCCATGTACTACAATCACTTTTATATAAATAAGGTTTATTATTATTATTTAAAAAAAACAAGACATTTTTATACATTTAGGTGGCGCTGCAGACAAGTAATTAACAATATATATATATATATATATATATATATAATTATTTGTTAATTACTTGACTACAGCGCCAACTATCAAATTCTAGAATAGTTATGAACCATTGCCCTATTTTTTTTAATATAAGAGGGAGCAAACGAGTATGCGGCTCACCTGATGGTAAGTGACTACCGCCACCAATGAACAACTGCAACACCAGGGGTATTGCAGATGCGTTGCCGGCCTTTCATAAAGCAGTAAGCTCTTTTCTTAAAGATCCATAAGTCTTTGTTGTAATTTACCAAATACATTGCATGAATTGTCTCAATTGATCAAATCTTTCAGAAGTAACACGATCATTAACAGATCGATTATATATATTTTTTTCCCACAGACATTTTATATTGGTCGCACAATTTTATAAATTTTTGCACACTGAGCGTGGAGAAACAATCGATTATATATTAGCTTGTAAAATTAAGAATTTTACGGGCCATGTCGAAATCGGTCGGGATAACATCATTTTAGTGGGTGGTAGAACTTATTTTCTGCTTAGGTGTCCTTCTTGGCAGGTATCACCTTCATATATACTATTCCAATACAATCCCGAGCGCAGCATGCAATGATGTGTTCCCATCTAAAGGGTGTAAACACTGGCTGGCAAACGACACAAAACCATTTTTATTACGTTATTCTGATTTACAGGCTGTGAGGCGTTTCATCTTGTCCTCGAGGTGACAACGCATCTGTAGTCTTTTTTACATTAAGTTGGTTGCATGGTCGCAGGTTTCCATGGGCCACAGTAGCCACTTAGAGTAATTTACCGAAGTATCATTTTGCGACGTCCACGGGTTGAGAATCGGTCGTAGTATTGAATATTAAAGTTGGGTATATTTTGCAGGTACATTTTCAAGAAAACCAAACGGAAGGAGTAATATACCGTCGAACAAATCGTAACACGGAGAACCGACACTCGATGATCCACTACGACCACGACACCTCCAAGCCCCAGCTAAAGGAACGTCCAGTTACAGTTTACGAGCCTTTACATATTGACTATAGAGACTCACCAACTATTGGCTCGCCGAAAACAACCAAAAACGATCGAAGTCTAGATTCTCTACCAATGGATTCTCCACAAATGTCCAGACACGAATTGAGATCTGATTCGGACTGCAGAAGTCTGGACTCACCAAAGATCAAAGCGGAGTTCTTTAAGGATATACCATTGGATTCACCGAAGTTGGTCGCTGGGTTGAGGAATTTTCATTTGGAGGAGAGCAGCCAGATGGATGAAAGTGGTTATTATAGTCCAGGTATTTTCCCGGCGCTTGAGAAAATATCACCTTTACTAAATTAAAAATAAACAAGATTGAGATTCTTACACCTTTAATATATTTTGAAGTAAAATTATATTATTTAAAGATGTATGTGCTGCCGACCTAAGAATCAAAAGCAGATGAAGAATGTAGCATAATAGTCTTAAGTCTAATTCATGTGTATTATTTAACATGTTTGTGATCTCTTCTAGTTGATTTTTGATCATTTAAAATATTTTTGCGCAAAATATTTATCAGTATAAATATTTTTATTTTTAACAGAAAAATTATTTTTCGATTCCACGTTATTCCCTTACACATATATTTCTTTGTTATAGAAAGAAGACAACAGATCGCTAATAATGAGCAGCAATATGAAAGCTACGAGGCTGTAGGAGTTGATGTCAGCACCGAAACTACGCCTGAACCAGTGTGCAAGTAGGTACCTTCAAAAATCCATTGTCAACGTAAAGTTCATGGGTGAGAATAAGTTCATTCTACACGTATGATCTTTATTTCCGCCAGCACAACTTTGAAAGCAGCCTACACGTTTCCAACAGTGGATTAGGACTGTAGCTTTGTCGCCGACCGTATTTCGGCCGCGAAAAGTACATAGAGCGAGTGAAGTACTTCTCATCTTCTGCGACCCCTATCGGCTACAGAGGGCAGTTCCGTACAGTCCAGCAGCGTGTATCCGGAATGTAGTCTCCAGCCTCTTCGGGCCCAGATCGCAGCTAATCCCCCTTTCTCTCTAGCGTATTTAGTTTTTCATGGATATTCCGTATCGTAACAAGAGATAAATTAAAAGCATGAACGTTTCAGCACAACATGCACGTGGTGTGGACGTCGTGTGCGCTCGACAGCGCTGGAGGTTCACTACTGGCGACGATGTGTCCTGCTGGCTCGCTGTCCACATTGCCGCGTAGCGCTTGAAGCGAGGGGACTCCACGCACATCTGCTAGGTAGTTATAGATAGTTTCTTAAATACCATTTCTTAAACTAGAGAAATACTATTTCATGAATATGTCAACTAGCGTGCGTAAATTAAAAATTAGTTAAGTGGTAAAACGCGATACGTGGATAAGGTAACGTGGTAGATCCATGCTGCTGCTATATTAGTGGTATAATTGTAGCACGAATGGGTTGGCTCAGCCGGGGCTCTCACAGAATACCAGCGTAAAATAACAGCTTTACACTGCTGTATTTCGTATGGTGAGTTTAGAGAACCGGAAACCCTTTTTACTGGAACCGAGGCATTCCATCTTAGTCCTCACGGGTGACGACGCATCTGCAATTTGATTCGTAATCGAGGATAGATGTAGATGTCTATGGGCCACAGCAGTCACTTACTCGTTTGTACTCGTTTGTCACCATTATCCTATAAAAAAAATATATAGTGACCCTTACATTTGGTCCTTCGAGCCGGATCTTAGATTCCGATGACATCATCCGAGTCGCTAGTAGGCTTGATAGCTCGCCCTATAACTATGACGTTTTACATCCAATACTGCTTTGCAGTAAACATCACTTAACAAAAATAATATTTGAAATGCAACATTTAAAACTTCTCCACGCTGGCCCTCAATTATTATTGTCTTCTATCCGTCAAACTTATTGGCTGTTAGGTGGTAGGAATTTATCTAAATTAGTAACAAAAAAATTGCCTAAAATGTTTTAAATTCAAGGCTGCAGATTCAGCCCATTATAGGACACCTGCCTTCACGTAGAACGGAGCTCGAATTCCCCTTTCTTCATTGCGACAATTACAGAAACAAGTACTTGGACCACTGTTTGTTTGACTCAAGTACTTGGCACACGCGGTCACCAACATCATCGTAATAATTTTTAAATTTCAGAAGAGTGTTCGCTCAGTGAGGGCCTGTGGAAGCCGTGTCAGAAGTGCGGTGCGGCGCTTCGTGTCGATGAGAGCGAATATCACGTCAACTGTATACGTAAGTTTTTAGAGAAATCATTTTTTACTTGTTTACTGTTGTCATACTATTATGTATAATGAAAATAAAGGATATAATGTAGTGCATAATATAAACAAAAACTAATTCATTAAGGGCAACACATTTCCTTTCTCAGTAATTAGTCTTCTTTTTTTCGATATTTCCTAATTAATCATATTCATTTTCATGTGCTGTACGCCACCACACGCTTAAAAACATCCATTACTTCATTTCGTTACGTACGTGTCGTAATAGGCGACTATAGGATATGCCAGAAATTTCTTGTGCGAGACAGTTATACTCCATTCATCGGAAAGCATATCGCTTACCCAGACGTATAAAGCATCTCCCACACACAAGCGGTTTGCGTCGCAAGCCGCAAGCCGCTTCTGTGTGGGAGAGGCTTGCAATGTAAGAGAGTCTACAAAATCGTGCGGCCATGGCGCGGCCTGCCAGCGGCTGACCGCGGCCGCATGTTCCGCCCCCTCCGCCACCGCGTGTGTGTTAGCGAGTACTCGGTCTGTCGGTGGCCGCAGCGCGGTCAGTTGCAAATTTTTACAAGAGGCCGCATATATCGCGTGAAAAATGGTGCTAAATTCAGAGATTTTAATAGAAACAATGCGAAATTATCCAGTACTTTATGATAATTTGCATCGTGATCACGAAATCATTAGAATTAAAAACAAAATATATGATAATATTGCTGAATATAATAAGACTTTGTCACGGTTTGTCATGTTTACTGACGTCCGATCGTAGCACAGGCACCACAGCGAATGGCGCTTCAGGCCGCCACTCGGGCCGCGGTGGTGTGTTGTTGCAGTGGCTGGAGCCGCGGCTCGCGGTTAGCCACCACCGCAAGCCGCTTGTGTGTGGGAGACGCTTAATACCTAAACTGTCAAAGGTGCGCTACTTCTGGTAATGCGACCGGCAATCCGCCTGCCAAGGGTGACGATATACTCATTACCTCCTTACAACGACAGAGGCCCGGCGACAGAGATGTCCAGTAGTGGACTTTACCAAGCCGATAAAGATGTTTGAAAAATAAACATAATCTAAGGATATACAATTAGGCTCAAATATTACTTACTATCGCACGACTATAGTTTACTGCTGGACATAAATATTTTTCAAGATTGCGTTAATTTTTTGAAATAGTTTTTCATACTCATCTTGCTGAAGAGCTGGTAAAAGTAGGGCCAAAATCCTCACATTGAATATGCTGCTTCCCCATCACCAATCTCCGACAGCTTCGACTAGGCTTTGACATTGTTGGATTTTACACTATTAACCTGTCGTTATGATCTCTTCCGCCAATCTTCTTCAGCCCGCAAAAGGCTTCAATGGATATGTGCCCTTCCCGTTCTAGGGACAATTGTTCCAGTCGTTGCGCTTGGCAGATAGATTGACTGAGTATATTATGTCTGGCATGAACGGGATCTATATCGGTATCTTCCGTCAATTAGCAGCATAACATTAATTAGTAACCTCCCTTATTTTACAGCTTTAGGCCTAGATGAATGGAAATGCCCATATTGCCTAACAAACGTGTTAGCTCGTGATCTACCTTGGCAGCGCCATCTGATGCAGTGTCCACGAAACCCACGACGTTCACAAACTTAGTCCAGTTATGATGCAGGCCTTGATTATATACATAGGTTTGTTTTTTAATAATCGTTACTTGTCAACACCTGTTATTTTAAAAATAGAAGTTTTCCGACATTTATACTTTACTAAGTTTTATTTATATTGCGAAAATGTTAATTTATAATGCGAAAATTTCATATTATTTCTAAATTGTGTTATTTCCATACATAAAGTTAACATTCTTAATTTTCATTTGAGTTATTACAAGAAGACATTCAGCTAATCACGCAAATATTATAATAAAAATACATTAGAATCAAATATGTTACACCTAAATATTAAATAACTTCTTAAATGAGTTTTTTGGGTAATACTTATATTAATTCTTAGACCTACATGATATTAACTCTTAGTTACATGTGTTTGTATGTTACTTCTTAAAATATTAGTAGTTAATACCTTCTGTTGTTACTAAAAGCTTACTTAAGTGCTGTTTTATCATCTAGAAATTTCTTGCGCAATATTATCTAGTCAATTCCATGTGCATGTATTATAAATTTGTAGTAATTTTTGTTATTGTTATCTTAAGTCTTAATATAATTATGTTGTCTTATAATTTCATTATTTTAATGTTGATATTTATTTACAGCAGTGTTAATATTTATAGTTTAAATCCCGTTAATTTGGTGATCTCGAACCATTGTTCATCTTAGTATAGGATTTAGGTTTCTAACAAAACTGTTATTAGTAAAAATAATTACTCTGTGGTTCCTTAGAAAGCAGACGGTTATTGCGTCTCATAGATATAATAAAAAAGCCAAAGTTTTCGTACTTTGCAACAGGCTATAATTCCGTATTAAAAAGAGTTTAACCGTAAACATGGTAACGTCTCTCCCTCGACATTTCTGCGAACTTTTACAAAAAATTAATATTACGAAAATTTACAAAAAATTGTCATATTGTTCAGAAAACTTAACCTGGTATTTATTTTCTTATCTATCACTCCATGGATTTTTATTCACTCAATTATAAATAGAGATAATAATAAATTAAAATAAATATTCATCAGTCAATTTTTGTAATGAATTGTCGTTTTAAAAACGTTATGTAAGATCATTATAATGATATACAAAAAACCCATATTTTGTATATCAATGTGTAAGGCACAGCTTTTCTGATCCGTTCTACCACCGTCCAAAGTGTACGTATGGATTCCGTCTTAAACATTGCTCATGTGTTTTTCTTTAACAAAACCAACATAATGTATGTAGGTATTCTTAATCGTTCTGTTTTTATAATATTGTATCTTAAGTTCGTTTTATTAATAATAGTACATACATTGTTTGATGCAGGGGTTCCCAAGCTTTTTCAGTACGCGGCGCACTTACAGGTTTAGCATTTTGTCTTTGCGCCCTGGCTAGTAGAAATAGGGTACAATGATACTAGGTACACAAAAATGGGTACTAGGGTACACAAAAATTAAAACATCCACGCAATGACACACAAGAATAAATTTTTATTATTTAAGAAAAATATGAAATAAAATAAAATGGCAACTTAGTCAATGTGACGCGTGAGCTTAGTGATCTCCACACATTTTTTACAGCGTGAGATAAAGCTAGACACCGCTGCTCTTATTTCTTGTTCCACGTTGATCTTTGAGCAGCTACAGCTGAAAATCCGGTTTACTTTGTACCCGCGGATACATAAGTTTAGTTTCCAAAGAATGGTAAACAATAGCGCCTGATGGCGCCCTTCTTTACTATTTACGGCGCACCAGGGCGCCACGGCACACACTTTGGGAGCCCCTGGTTTAATGAACAATGTCTTTGAAAAAAACATAAAATACCTACGTCCGGCCATCTGTCACAGATACTGTAGCTTTTATTATTAAGAGACATTTATTTTCTTCTTTTAATTTTTAGAAAAAGCAAAACTTGAATTTAGAAAATATTTTTCTAACGACATTGTTTATGGTTGATTTATGAAAGTGGCCTTTTAATAGAACATAAAATCCTTGGATAAAATCACACCTCATTATGTTTTTATTGTCATCAGACGTTTTACAAAGATTATTGGCCAAAATCTTGTTTTAAATTATTCTTAGAACAATTGTTTCCATTTGTTGTTGTTTTCATTGTCATAGTCAAATGGATTTGTAGTTTGCTTAAATAGATTCGTAGCGTTATTAATAGTTTTAATTTGAATATTATTATATATATTGATTGTAAATTACATGAGATGACAAGAAAAGGCGCAACATAGTAGTAAATTCTAAATTATTATAAAGAGTAGTTGTAGATATTGTGTAGAGTAGAAAGTTTTTATTATACAAGGTTATTTTGCAGTAACCGGTGAAATTTGCAGAATACGTAATATAGGCAAATGGTGAAGAAAAATTAATTAAAAAAAATCTCAAACATTCTGTCCTTTTTATCTTTTAAATTCAAATTGCGTGGTAATGCATTGTTTTTACTGTTTCTACTGATTTTACCTCGCACTCACACATTCGTAAGTGTCGATCGGTAGGCAAAAAGGTTGTTGCCCATAAATCACATTGAATTTGGGATAATTTCAAATAAAAGTATAAGCCTTATTTACTCGTATTTTCAAAAACTGCAATAACGGTATATCATATTTGATTTACATATTTGAACTTAAGTTTAAAATTTGGCTAATCTTGGAAAAATAACCCTGTATTGCGATATTGGTTACATAAAGATAGGTTTAGAATTATTATAAGTTCAGTGTTGTGAGTTCCGTGTTCACTGCATTCTATGCAACTATAATAGAACATAGATCGAGCTTTATATATAACTTTTGTTCTATTTTTAATTGTTTAGTATTATTAGACTTGTATACATATAGTTGCGTCATTTATGTATTTATTTTTATAGGATAGGGTGATAAACGAGCACACAGTCCACCTGCTGGTAAGTGGCTGCTGTGACCCATAGACACCCAAATCCATCCTCCATAAAGAATCAAAATGCAGATGCGTTTGGCACCCGTGAGGACTAAGATGGAATGTCTCTTTCCCAGTAAAAAGGGTCTCCGGTTCTCTACACTCACCATACGAAACACAGTAATGTTAAGCTACTATTTTACGCTGGTATTCTGTGAAAGCGTGGTCCTGCCCCGGTCGAACCGACCCATTCGTGCTACAACTATAGTACTAATATAGCTGCAGCATGGCTCTACCACGTCTGTATGTCGTAAGAGACGTTTGAGGGAAAGGCTAGAAAGTCATTATGATCTTCGATAAATTGCAGTGTAACCATCCAACGCTAGACATAAAATACTTATGAATCGACTCGACCGAATAAGGACAGCGCTCTCACAGAATACCACTATAAAATAGCAGCTTAATGCTGCTTTGTTATTGTTTACTGGCAGTGAGGCTATATATTTTGATTCTTAATTAAAAGGATAGATGTAGATCTATATTGGCCATAATAGCCACTTACCATCAGGTGGACTGTGTGTGCTCGTTTGCAGCCCTATTCTACAAAATAAAATTTAAGAACCTATAACTTCAGATCTACACCAAGCTCCGAAATCGGAACTCCTGATCGCTCGCTGTATAATCCAGTTTAATCTTAGGATCAAACTTTTTGTTAACTTTCTTTAGCCATAGTATCCCTAGCCGTAAAATAAATAGAGATCTAGCCAATGCGTGTCGATAACCGATACAGTGTTTATGACCTTCCACTCTAGGATGGACATATTTATTGGCTAACACAGTCATTATATATAAAGGCAAAATCGTATGGAGTAATAAGTATCCTATCCATGTTCTTTTCAATAATACCTGCTTTTTTTTTCTATTTACACCTATCAGGATATTATCACAACATACGTGATTCCTAACCAGTGGTCCGCGGACCACCAATGGTCCGCAAAACTTTAAACTTGGTCCACGAAAGATTTATATATATTATCTACCTAATTGTTTTAAATAACACATTTATTATTTCCTCGTCACGCGGGCAGTACAATACCGCGCGTCACGTTAGTAAGTACCTACTAGCTTTTACAGTAAATAGACAAATAATACTTTTAATGAATGCTTTTTTCCGTTTATTATATAATTATGTTAAAAGTTGCGATTGTAATTCATTGTTAGATTAACATAGTTATTTCTTTCACCTTGTGGTCCCTGCTAACTACGAAAAAATCAAAGTGGTCCCTGGACAAAAAAGGTTGGGAAACCCTGTTTTAAAGTGTTACTGGTTTCACCATTTTGCAATCAAATGACGTACCTACGTAAAACGCGTACAAAGCGTTTCGCTTAATCATTTCTAGACCTCTACAAGTAGGGACAAGGGCTTTACAAAAGTGAATAGGCATTTTTAGGCTTACTTTAGGAAACATAATTATAACATAGACTAGAATAAAATAATCTTAATCATAATTAATAATTATATTTATTAAAAATAATGTATGATCCATCTTTAAAAACCGTTATTCACCGTATTTTAATTTTGATTTTTATACTACTTACTTTAAATATTTCGCTAAAGAAAAAATGAATTAATTTACAAATAAATAAAATTGAAGTGTCTGTTTGTAATGTCAAAATAACAGCTTTTTACTAAATACACATGAAAATATACGGAAATTATAAACAAAAACACATTTTTTTTAAAAATTGTCTGTCTGTCTGTTTGTTCCGGCTAATCTCCGAAATAGCTTGACCGATTTTAACGGGACTTTAAGTGGCAGATAGCTGATGTTATATGGAGTAACTTAGGCAACTTATATTTTTTTTAAAAATTAGGTTTCCGCGCAAAAAAAATATAAAACCCTAAATTACCTACACGCAGGCGAAGGCGCAGGTCACTGCTAGTATCTAATATTTAAAAAAATGTACCAGCTGGCCCAGCAGACGTTTCCTGTCCCTTGCGGTAGGTGCCGCGATGAATTTCACTCCGGATTTTTTACGTGTAAATATATTTATTTTTATTAACTTGAACCACAACGCTATCGGGTCCAGATTTTGTGATTTTCTTTTTTGGCACTAAACCGACATTTTG